ACTTCCCATTCCTGCAGCAGGACTCCGAATCATAACAGGAGTCCAACCTTCACCTATCACAGCGAGCTATGTCATAAAAGACGTTCAAGGACTTGGTCACCCTTACATCTGGGGTCCACTCCCCTGGACCTGTATAGCCCCCTGCTGGAAAGCACTTTGGTCAGAACAAACACTGCACAGGGTTCCATTATGCAGGGTCCAGCGCTGTAAGGCTGCATTACAGGCAAAACCCTGAGAATCCTTATCCAGAGAGGCTGGGGTACCATCCATTTTGACTAACAGCTTTTCGAATGGATTCAATTGTCCTTGATTCTCAGAAGAATTGCTCTGGACCTCCAAGTATGCTCCCAGAGAACATGCAGCACATCAGTGACCTTACAGACAATGGTGAAAAAACTGATGTACTTCCTGTATAGGATGGGAAGACTTCCTGTTTGATTAATCTACCAGTGTCTGTTCACCTATAGATGGCACATAAACCCTATAGTCATAATTATAGCCTGCTCTGTGTCCTGTGATGTACGATAAAGAAATACAGGTAACTGCACATAGTGTGAATGAGCACTTATTAGATGCAGCCATACGGTTTACTCTTTGTTTGCACAAGATGGATGCAGAGAGGTGAAACAGAGAAGATACATCGCTGAACCGGAAAATATATGTGCCACCTGCTCTAGAGAACTGTGTTGTTAGACTAGGTTCACAAATGTGCAGGTGGTGCCGCTGCGGATCCGCACAAAAATCCGTGTAGTCGCACCACCCGCGCAGAAGAATGCGGACCCGCGGGCAGGTGCCATTAATTCTAACGGCACGTCGCCTGCACTGGAAATCACAACCGTACTAGGAACCGAGGTTCCCGTGCACGCTGCGTTTTCAGAAGATGTGCAGGGACTTCTTCCCTGCGTGTCATGGGGCATGGGAGTCCTTTCAAATGAATGGGCTCTTGTGCCCGCGCAAAATGCGGACCGCAGGAACACACATATGTGAACCAGGGCTTAATGCAAACTACAAGAATGGCTGATCAGATTAACAAACCTTTGCAATTATATGTTTGCTGGTTCCAATTAAATCTTAGAGGTATTTTGAGGTACAGTGTATATAAAGCCAGAACTTTTGAGGAGTGAGTGGTTAGAACCTTTGTCAGGTTTATATTGCTGTCTGTGTTTTTACTAGGAAGATTCACTCTCTAACTGTGCTAGTTACCATTGTCACTGGGACTAAAGCAGGCCATACACTATACAATCTTACTGTACAATTTTCCTTTAGGATTTACGAAAAAACCCCACATAATTTGAGGCCAATTTTAAACACGTTCAATCCTTTCACCACATACTTAAAGATAAATCTAAAGGAGATTGTACAGAAATTATACAAGAAAATTGTCTAATGCATGGCCAGCTTAAGGCCCCTTTCACACGGGTGGTTAGATTTTAGATGCTGTTTGAAGAACTTATTCACCGCAGCTAAATGCAGACAATGCATCCCAATGGATCCATTCACATACTGCGTTTAGCAACATTTTCATAACATACAGTTTTATGGGTTTAGAAAAAATAAAGTTGACAGCGTCCAAGAGCGATGTACCGCAGTTATCTGCACATAAACACAGTTAATTCGCAGTACAAAGCAAAAATAAGTAAACAATTGCTATAGAAAAGGCAAGAATTTACTACAGCAGCCACATGTAAATGCATGTAAATCGCAGATAAGAGCAATGTACAAACGCACGTGATCTCTGTGTCAGGAGTGCTGGAATTAAAAAAAAAAAAAACCTGCATTTACAAGCGGCAGAACAACCGCCCGTGTGAAAGAGGCCTAAGGCCGGGACAGGCTTTATTGAGATCAGCAGGGGAACTGTCCGCTGATCAGAGAAGAGTAGACAGATGATAGGTCCATGCCCACTCCGTTTCTGCAGAGTGCACACGGACACAGCCCACTCTGCTCTATGGGTGGCCAGGTGTATTCCACTGTCTAGTTACACCCAACTGCCCATCGATCCAATGTGCCTAGACAGAGGGGGCAGATCCCCTTCCATTTTTTTTTTTGTTAGCAGACTGGATCAGATCAAGAGGTAGGCAGGTGTAAACAAGTACTGAAAAAATGACAGGCGGACTTGATCGAATTGCCCGTGTGAAAGGGGCCTAATAATGGGGAAAATCCAAATATTTTCAATTGTCACTAGAAATAAAGCGGATATGCTTGTTCTCTTTTCAACAGTTGAAGAGGGAAAACAAACCAAAAAAACAACTTGATGGATTTTAACAATTCCATTCTGGATATCCTTTAAGGGTTATAGTTAAGGAAATGTATTTCTATTGTAGGCAGCACAGTGGCTTAGTGGTTAGCACCTGTTCCTTGCAGCACTGTGGTCTTTAGTTGGAATCCCAGCAAGGACACTATCTGCATTGAGTTTGCATGTGTTCCCTGTAATGGCAAGGGTTTTTCTTGGGTATTTCGGTTTCCTCCCTCTTTCCAAAGACATGCCGGTACGTTATTTGGCTCCTGCCTACTTTGGCCTTAGCACATGTGTACAAATTGGGAATGCACATGTAATGGTACATTATCCATGCCAGTCCCAAGCCAAGCAATTGGGGAGGGTTGAGGAGAGACCTGGCGACTCACCTTGTAAAACAATTCTCCAAGAACATTCTAGGAAAAAAGGCTTTAAAGCGGTATTAAAACCATAAGCAAAAATGTAATATACTGCAGCTTACCAATCATTAGATGTGGTGGCTGAATTAGTTTTCTTTTTTATGCTTTTTCCCCCTGTTTTCACCTGGTGATCTGGGCAGTAACACACTCCTGTATTAGAGTGCCCCCACTCTGGATGAAAAAGCACAGGGGACAGCAGCATTGTTCATCTGGGGGGAAGGAAGTGTTAGATGCACTAGCAGATTTAAATACACTAACACATTGAAGCCAGCTTTACAGTGCAGTTACAGAAACAGTTTTTTTTTTATCTTGGTATAAAGGTTTTACATGAATACATAAAAGCTGATCACTGTAAGCACCCCTGTCAGTAGTAAATTGTTTGTCTCAACCTGCTATATTTGTAGGAGAGCTTGTTATGTTGAAATAAAAATTAACAAAAAAACCCAGATTTACTGGCCAGATCACCAGGTGAAAATAGGGGAAACAAAACCTAAAAAGAAAACTAATGCAGCCGTCACATCTAAGGATTGATAAACTGCAATAGAATACGTTCGCTTTTGGGTTTAATACCACTTTAAGGGTATCACCAGGGGCGGACTGACCATTTGGAAACTCGGGCAGTGCTCGAGGGCCGGGTCAGTAGGGGGACCATGAGATGCCCCTGGTACCTTTTTCATAGGCTTTTTTGAGTTTGGGCAAGGGCACAGGGGCCCCATGATCCCCTATTGCCCGGGGGCCCCATGAATTGTCAGTCCGCCCCTGGGTATCACACATGATGCCCAGAGACCTGGCCCAAAGAGGTAGACACATTTCGCTTGTGGGTGCAGTGACTTACATTTCTAATATGATATAACATTCTTCATGCCTGCTCTTAATATTTTTTAACTTTCAAAATATTTGTCATTAAAATGGTGCAACCAAAAATATTGAACCCAAAATAGCACAATAAATTAGATTGCATTTACATTTCTGCACATGGGGTAACAAACTTTCCATAGACATAGTGACGCATGTAAAATGCAATTAAAATGCACCACACTACAAATTCACCAAATATAAAAAACACAAAGGTGTGAATGTAGCCTCAGATTTTAGTTCACATATTCAAATACAAGGCATAATCCCTGCAGCATTAATGTATTGTTTCTAAGAGAAATAGACAACCCAAAAGGGATTATTTACTAAAGGAATGGAGACTGTTCACTTTGGTAAGTGAATACTGAGCTTAGCGAAGTAGATGAAACTGTGCTCACTTTAATTAATCAATTTAGCTAGCAAAAATTCATTTATAAAGGATAAGTTCACATTTTCTAACATGTTACATCCACATTCAGATGCACTAGCCTCTGCATCCCCCTGACCCCCTGCTGTCAATCAAAGCCAATGATGAGGGAGCAGGGGGCGGGGCCGAATCCTGCTGTCTGTGTCAATGGATGCAGCAGTGGGGCTCGAGAGCGAGCACGGACAATTGCCCCCACGGGAAGAGACTTCCCATGGGGGCACTGGACAGGAAGGAGAAGCCAGCATTGCCAGCGGGGGACCCAGGAAGGGGAGGTTCAGTGTCACTCTGTGCCATTCCAATGCACAGAGCAGGTCAGTACAGAGATGTCTGTTATTTAAAAAAAATCCTTTACAATCACTTTAAAGCTTGACAAGTTTGATGTCTATTTACTCAACACAACGTGGGGGTTATGGTGTGGAGTTGTTTTTCAGGGGTTGGGCTTGGCCCCTTAGTTCCAGTCAAGGGAACTCTTAAGGCATCAGCATACCAAAACATTTTGAACAATTTCAGGCACCCATCTTGGTGGAACAGTTTGGGGATGGCTCCTTCCTGTTCCAACATGATTGCGTACCAGAGCACAAAACAAGGCCCATAAAGACATGGATGAGCAAGTTTGGGGTGGAGGAACTTGATTGGCCTGCACAGTCCTGACCTCCACCCAATAGAACACCTTTGGGATGAATTAGAGTGGAGACTGCGAGCCAGGCCTTCTCGTCCGACATCAGTGCCTGACCTCACAAATGCACTTCTGGAAGAATGGTCAAACATTCCCAAAGACACACTCCTAAACCTTGTGGACAACCTTCCCAGAAGTGTTGAAGCTGTTATAGCTGCAAAGGGTGGGCCAACTCAATATTGAACCCTACGGAGTAAGACTGGGATGCCATTAAAGTTCATGTGCGTCTTTTGGCAATATAATGTATGTGTGAAAAATTTAATAAACTATCCTGCCCTTCAAGTGGTTAATGTATTGACGTACACAAAAATATAATTGTAAAGAATGTGATGCTGCAATTCAGTTTGTTACACTTATACTGTGGTATATGTAATACAAATATGGCCATACCTAGAGTATGCATAGTTATTTCACTCTGCTGCACCTGCTGAGCCATCATTCGGCTGACACTCATTAGGCTCTCCGTGATGCTGCTTGCAGATTCCGTTAGGTTTTCTTTGGTTATATTTCTGTGGGGCAGAAAATATAAAATGTTAAATTTGTTTCTTGCATGCAATTTTCCATGAGAACAGTTGACACAGCATACTATTAAACATGATGCTGACTATATGGTATTGTTAGGTTACTGCTGTGATTATTTTTTAACATGACTGTATCAAGTTTCTATCATCTACACTCTGTCCCCTACACTCTACCGAAACCGCCCTACTCAAACCCACCAACAACCTGCTAACCGCCAAAGCCAATGTCCACTATTCAGTGCTACTACTCCTCAACCTCTCCGTGGCTTTCGACACAGTCGACCACCCCCTCCTCCTCAAAAAAACTATACTCTTTTGGCCTCAGAGACTCGGCTCTCTCCTGGCTCTCTTCCTATCTATCTCAATGCTCCTTCAGTGTTACCTATAACGCTGCCACCTCCCCCTCACTCCCCCTCTCTGTTGGGGTCCCCCAAGGCTCTGTCCTCGGGCCCCTTCTCTTCTCCATCTACACCTCCTCCCTTGGTCAACTGATACACTCCCATGGCTTCAACTACCATCTCTATGCCGATGACACTCAAATCTATCTTTCTACCCCTCGCCTCACTCCTTCAGTCTCCGCCACAATCACTAGCCTTCTGAACGACATATCAGACTGGATGTCACTCCACTTCCCCAAATTAAACCTTGCCAAAACCGAGCTCCTAGTTTTCCCCCCAGCCCGCACCCCCCCCCCCCCTGACCTCTCCATCACGACCAACAACGCCACCATCAGCCCCACCCCACAAGCCAGAGTACTAGGTGTCATTCTAGACTCCAATCTGTCTTTCCAGCCCCAGATCCAATCGCTGACAGATTCATGCAGACTTCACCTCGGAAACATCTCCAAAATACGCATGTTCCTAACTCCTGAAACTACAAAGCAACTCATTCACTCCCTCATCATCTCCCGACTTGACTACTGTAACTCCCTCCTCGTCAGCCTACCCAAACACAGGCTATCCCCGCTACAGTCTATCCTGAATTCTGCGGCCAGACTCATCCGCCTTACCAACCGCTCCGTATCCGCCACCCCCCCTCTGCCAATCCCTCCACTGGCTTCCGATTGCCCAACGCATAAAATTCAAAATATTAACATTGACGTACAAAGCTGTTCATAACACTGCCCCAAACTACATCACCGACCTGATATCCATCTACCACCCAAAACGCACTCTCCGCTCCTCACAAGACCTCCTACTCTCCAGTTCCCTGGTCTCCTCCTCCCATGCCCGTCTCCAGGACTTCTCCAGGGCTTCCCCCATCCTCTGGAACTCACTACCCCAATCCATCAGACTGTCACCTTCCCTCCTCACCTTTAGGCGCACCCTGAAAACCCACCTCTTCAGAGAAGCCTACCCCACCCTCACCTAATTGCGGATTTCCTCCGCTCTTCCAGGGCCCTCGAACCCCTCATGTATTGTATTGTTACTGTACTGTCTCATGTATTGTCTCCCATTATAATGTACAGCGCTGAGCAAACCGTTGGCGCTATATAAATACTGTATAATAATAATAATATAATTTAGCTTTTGTAACTTATATAGTAAAGCACTGTGCAAACTGTTTACGATATATAAATTCTATAAAATAATAATAATAATCTAGACCAGCCTTTCCCCATTTTTATCATGCAGGAACCCTTTAAAAAGTTTTCAGGTCTCAGGGAACCCCCACTAAAAATATCTACAGCTAAGGTACATTTTCTTGATCAGCAGGTTGTAGAGAGTTTAAATAATAAAGAATAAGATGTACTTAACCCTTTTCACTTCCCCTGTTTTAAAATAAAACGATCTTCAGTGACATTCATGAAATTAAACAAATATTATGTTGAAAACTGTAATTATCCCTTACTATGGTGGTCAGTGTAGGCTACAGATCATTCTGCCACTGCTTTCTGCTGAAGGAACCGCCATCAACCTCTGGAAGAGCTCCACTGAACCCCCATTGTAGCGCCTATACACCTAGTTGAGAAAGGCTGGTCTAGATTGATATAAAACATTTATGGACAGCCTGTACACCTCATGCTTTCTGTATTCTTAGGAAAGTCACTACTGATGGTAACTGCCTGAAAGCATGGATATTAACATCCTAAGTAATGGCATTTCAGTACATAAGCTAATAAAATAACACTTGAGTAGATGGGAGCTATTGAACATAAAAGGTACATCTGGTAGCATACTCTCCAGATTCTTTCTGTATTTGCAAGGCTGTAGTAGAATGGTTGCACATCAGGCTCTTAGATTCCTCATCTACAGCCTGCTTTCATCCCAGGAACCGTTTAAAACTTGTAGAGGATATATGGGATAAAGGGCTCCAAAATCACAGTGAATATCTGCCTAGATTCAACCACACTTGGTAAATGTGCCCCCAATTTCTTGCGTATGATTTATAAATATATCTGCACATGGAACAACCCTACCATCAAAGGACACTTTACTAGGTTCACCTGCTCTATAAGGCAAATAGAACTACAGACATGGTCAACATTATAACGTTGGACACAATGGAAACCCGTAAATTGAAAAAGAAAAAAAAAAAAAAAAAAAAAGAATGTACCTCTGTCTTGTAGAATTACCACCTTCAAGTAGTTCATCCTTCTCAGAGTTATCTATCGCCAACTTACAAGAAAGATTTGCCTTCCTCCACACAGTCTGATTGCTGAGATAAACGTATTACATATATTATTAGACATAAAAGCAATACATTGGTCAATTCTATATAGCGATATTATAACAAATCTACAGCTTTGACAAATCTGGACAAGGCAGAGCAATTATAATGTGCAAAAGAACTCACAGCAGTTTTAAGCAAATTTTAGAAAATTTGAGAGGATATCCCTTTATCAGACAACTAGGTGACAAAGGAAAAGATCTTTAAAGGATAGGTTCACCTTTTGAATAAAATAAAAATAAATAAATGCACTTTTTTTGCAGGTAAAAAAAAATGCATTTTTATTTTTAGGAGCCTGCAGAGCATTGCACCCATGATCAGCAGATCACAGGTGCAACCTCAGGCTCCAGCAGACTCTCAGTATAACTGTTTGCCTGTACCTCCCTTACAATCTACCTGAGAGCAGGAAGATCAATGGAATACCACCATACTCAATGGAATACTCACCAGCGCCTTTGCAGTTCATTGAAAAATACAAGCTGTCAGCCACAACTGATGATGTACTTGCAGGCAGTCATTCAGGGGGATTGGGGGAGAGGCTGCAGATGCTGGAACATGTTACATGTTCCACCCTAAAAACAGGTGGAACATGTTCCATAGGTGAACTTATCCTTTAAAACTTGTGTTGCTGTTTCGTTTCTACAGTTACACGTGGCAGCCAATCGCATTTCAGCTTAATTTGATCAGATGTTGATTACTGCACCTTGTCTTACATACTTGTGCCTTATCTTACTGAAAAGGCCTTCATGGTAAATAAAAAAGCAAGATAACATGAAAATATAGGCAGGACAACAGCATAACACTGACCTCAAACAGATCGGAACACACAAGTTATGCGGATGGTTTGGTATACCAGCAAAATACAGAAAGGAAGAACAAACTATAGTGCAAACTAGAGTTACGTGTAGAAACTTCAGCATGGTAAGTCTAGCAGGGCAACATGTACAAGAAGTCCAAGAACAAAGAGCACCAGGACTTCCCCACACCTGGAGTATGATTAAAGTAGAATTATAGGCAAAAGGAAGGGCTATAACCCCTCTCAATGTATTTTTTGCTATGTGTGTTCCACTGGGGAGATTTACCTTCACATCCTATCCCATAGGCAAAACTACACAGGAAGTGAGAAAATGTCCGCAAATAAAAGGGATTTCCTTGGGGAATTACAGGTCACCAGAATTAGTGGAAAATTTTCCCTTTATTGCTTTTCTGGGGGCAACCCAAAATGTGGGGTTTCTTTTACTGTCACTTTCTATGATAACGGTAAGCAGGACAAATAGTGAGGATAAATCTCCCTTACGGGGCACAGACAACAATAAAAACCTGACAGGTGTTCTCATCCCTCTCCACTCTATCCAAAACTAAAAAAAAAAAAAAAAAAATGGTTTCCTTTAGTTACACTTTAAGTGATGCAGTACCTAAACTACACCAACACTAATGTAGTTTGGGACCATTTTTAGCTGACATTACATGCTCAGAAAACTTGGCCTAGTAATTTCAGATTTAAAAATCACCCTAAATAAAAAGTTTCTTTAACACCGTACTTTCTTTGGCATTGGATAGTTTGTAGAAGTGTTGAAACCCCTGTCAGGATTGTATTGCTAGAGTACATGCATGAGAGGTGCCGGACTTCAAAATATTACATCTACATCCATTGCTAGTGTCAATCTCATCTTTCAAGCTAAATCATTTTGGTGAGACTGCCCCACTCAACAAGGGACTCAACGCATGAGAGATTTTATTGCTGACCATGTAAACAATGGGCAGATCTGGTCTCCTTATTTGCCCCAGTGACCAGGACTGCTGTTAGAAACAACGGGGCCCCATACAGCCTACTTGGCAGCCCCCCCCCCCCCCCCCCCCCAATAAAACACAGTTTACTATGCTTCATTTATGAATGAACACAGTGAGTGATCAGTATATATCACTCATTGTGTTCATTCAGGAAAGGGCCTGGTAAATGTGACATATTTACTGGACCCTTCCCCCAATTCTCCATCCTGAAGATTCCTATTGTGTGCTTGCAGCTGTCGGTGGTGAGGAGGAAAGACAAGCAGCACTGCGGAGATGGGGGCACACAGGGGGGCCTTGGCAACAGGGGGAAACATATGGTGAACAGGGAGAGTGATGGTTGTGGTGGGGGGCAATTACTGGAACCGATCCCCTCTATGGTTCTCTCTGCAGCAGCTGAAACCAAAGGGAGGGATAGGAAAAGAAACCAACTTTCAGCTGCTGCAGAGAGAGCCATACAGGGGATCGGTTCCAGTAACTGCAACCCCCCCCCCCGCCATGCTGGTCATCCTCTCTGCCCACATCTGATTCACCCATCTGCCTTGGGCCCCCCTGCTGGCCTGGGCCTGTACAGGAGGACCACCTTACCCACAGCCCTGCCAGTGACCAGTGCCACCAATACAGAAAATGATAGGAAAATGCAAAATGTTACAGTTGTCATTAATCAGAAGGGGAGTAGAAATTTCCCCATTGGGTACGTCTGTTCTGATGGAAAATGTGTAAAAGGGGATTTCCCTTCTCATTGGATAGATTTCTTCCCTTTCTTCGTTCTCCAAGTGATGGAATATCTGCACAATGGAATACAAGCAGCAAAAAACTGATGGGTTTTATCTATTCCCTGCTTGACAGGCTTTGGGTTGACATACAGTTCAGCTAAACCTTTGCTGCAATACCCACCTGAGCATCTGCTTTTTGTGGCATCCCATCTCTTTCAGCAAAGTTTGCTTGTCTGACTCCTTGTCTTGTTCCTTGGCCATCTGCTCCAGGTCCTTTCAGGTAAAGCATATTACACACATTAAAGCTGAACTCCAGGCAGATAAAAATCCACAGATTAATGTAGCTCTATATTCATTAATACACACTTCAATATTTTAATTGCAAGCAGTGTATGTACCTAAACTTGACTTGATTTCAGCATCTTTCAATCCTCTGTACAGTAAGCAGCAGTCAGATTGGAAGATAGTGATACAGCACTGGGAGACAATCAGGTGTGCTGCGTGCAGAAAAGGAATATGATCATAGAGAGAGATGGCAGAGGGATGACCTCATCAGTCTGCTGCTGCTCTTTAACTAAAATCTAGTTCCTTCAGGGCTCATTTACATGGCTGTTCAACAGCAGTACACTGCCCAGATCAGCATATTACTGGGGCAGGTCTGGTGAGGGGTTTATGTTCAGCTGTGGTTGTTCCGCCTGTACAAATCTATGACAGGTTGACACTGTCTGCACCTGCTCATATATAATCACATAAAGGAGCGATTATCTGTGGTTAGAGATAGATGAGCAACCCTGAATGCAAACTGCATACAAAGCCGCTCATCTCTGCCAAGCCAAATCTTGTGAGCGATTACATGTGAACAGTCACCAAAATGGTCGTCCTGTCACTAGGTTTTTCAGGCTAAATGGCCACAGCCAAACTTAAACCCCTGCCTGTACTTACCGCAGGAAAAGCTTATCTTGGCAGTGTATAGCCATTAATGGCTGTGTAAATGACTTCTAATAGAAATCCCCATTTGAAGCCTCCTCTTACCTGTATCCTCAGTCTCAGGAGCTGGAACTTCTCTTTTACTTGGGCATTGAGGTCATTTAGTGCGCTGATCGGTCCGGGGCATTCCCTGATATCCTGTAAACAGTGGAGAAAATTAATGTATAGTACCCTATAGGTGTGTGTGTTTGTGTATATATATATATATATATATATATATATATATATATATACACACACACACATACATATACATACATACATATACACACACATATACACAGTTATGTCCATATACGTTTGGCACAAATTTGATACTTTTGGCTCTGTATGCCACCAGAATAAGTTAGAAAAACAATCCAAATGAACTTGAAGCGCAGACTTTCAGCTTTAATTCAAAGGGTTGAACATAAATATCAAGTACAAATTTTAGGAACTACAACCATTTTTATGTCAGGGGCTCAAATGTAACTGGACAAATTAATATAATCATAAATAAAATGTTAATTTTTTAATATTTTGTTGAGAATCCTTTACTGGCAATGACTGCCTGAAGTCTGGAACCCATGGACATTACCAAAGACTGGGTTTCCTCCTTTCTGATGCTTTGCCAGGCTCTAATTGCAGCTGTGTTCAGTTGTTCTTTGTTTGTGGGTCTTTCTGCCTTTAGTTTTGCCTTCAGCAAGTGAAATGCATGCTCAATTGGGTTGAAAGCAGGTGATTGACACAGCCATTGGAGAATATTCCACTTCTTTTGCTTCAAAAGCTCTTGGGTTGCTTTTGCAGTGTGTTTTGGATCATTGTCCATCTGTACTGTGAAGCGCCATCCAATCAACTTTCCTGCATTTGGCTGAATCTGGGCTGACAGTATATCTCTAAACACTGCAGAATTCATCCGACTGCTTCTGTATTCTGTCACATCATCAATAAATACCAATGACCCAGTGCCACTGGAAGCCATGCATACCCATGCCATCATATTGCCTCCACTATGTTTTACAGATGACGATGTGTGCTTTGGATCATGAGCTGTTCCAAGCCTTCTCCCCACTTTTTTCTTCCCGTCATTCTGGTACAGATTAATCTTAGTTTCATCTGTCCAAGGAATGCTTTTCCAGAACTGGTCTGGCTATTCTATCCTTCAGGCTTATGAATGGTTTGCACCTTGTGGTGAACCATCTGTATTTACTCTCGTGAAGTCTTCTCTTGATTGTAGACCAGGGGTCCTCAAACTACAGCCCGCGGGCCACCTGCGGCCCGCCGAGGCCGTTTATCTGGCCCATCGGCAGGGGCGTATTTTCCGCCAGGAAGGGACACTAAGTACAGGGGCAGGCAGGGGGCTGCTGTACCTTACCTGGCTCCGGTCCCAGTTCCACGACGATCCAGTCCAGGAAGCGCTGCTCCTTCATTCACTCTGGCCACTCACTCACTCCTGCCGCTCGTCTCTGCCTCCTCACCGGTGATTGGGCGCCAGAACTGTAGCTCAGGAAAGGCACACAGGTGGCCAATCACCTGCGAGGAGGCGGAGCCGAACGGCCCCACGAACATCGAGTGAGGGAGAGGCCGGAGTGAAGAAGGACAGCAGACAGGTAAGTGTGCCGTGCTGATGGTGCTGCTGCAACCAGGTATGCTGGCTGCAGCAGCACCATGCTGGAGCAGGGGTCAGCAAGTTAAAGTGTCATTGGTGTCAGTGGGAGGAATAGTGCCCCATCATTGGTGTCACTGATACAACCGTGGAACACTATTCCTTCCCCCACTGACACCAATGATGGGGTACTATTCCTTCCACTGACACCAATGTTGGGACACTATCCCCCCCCACTGACGGGGCACTATTCCCCCCCCCCCCCCCCCCGCTGACACCAATGACGTACTATTCCTCCCACTGACACCAAAGATTGGGCACTATTCTTCCCACTGACACCAATGATGGGACACTATTCCTCTCACTGACACGAATGTTGGGACACTATCCCCTTCCCCCACTGACACCAATGATGGGGCACTATTCCCCCCCCCCCCCCCCACACACACTGACACCAACAATGGGGCACTTCCTCTCCCCACTGACACTAATGATGGGGCACTATTCTCTCCCACTGACACCAATGATGGGGCACTATTCTTCCCACTGACACCAATGATGGGGCACTAATCTTCCCACTGACACCAATGATGGGGCACTAATCTTCCCACTGACACCAATGATGGGGCACTATTCTTCCCACTGACACCAATGATGAGGCACTATTCTTCCCACTGACACCAATGATGGGGCACATTTCTTCCCACTGACACCAAAGATGGGGCACTATTCCTCCCACTGACACTAATGATGGGGCACAATTCCTCCCACTGACACCAATGATGGGGCACTATTCCACCCACTGACACCAATGATGGGGCACTATTCCTCCCACTGACACCAATGATGGGGCATTATTTTGCTCCATAAGACACACTTCAGGGGAAATGTCTGTGTGTCTTATGGAGCGCCCGGCCCAGTATTCCCACCGCCGTTGTATGTCCGCAGTCTCTGGTCATCTCCTGTACTGTGTCTGCATTTGTTCACAGTCTTTTTTTTTTTTTTTTTTTTTTAAACTATAGTCCGGCCCTTCAACGGTCTGAGGGACAGTGAACTGGCCCCCTGTTTAAAAAGTTTGAGGACCCCTGTTGTAGACTATCCTGGAGAGTGTTTTGCACTTGTTTGGATGTTGTGAATGGGTTTTTCTTTACCATAGAGAGGATCCTGCCATCATCCACCACTGTTGTCTTCCATGGACGTCCATGCATAAAAATGCTTCTGAGCTCACCAGTGTGTTCTTTCTCCAGAATATACCAAACTGATGATTTGGCCACTCCTAATGTTGCTGCTATCTCTCTGATGGATTTGTTTAATTTTTGAAGCCTTACAATGGCCTGTGTCACTTGCATGGGCAGCTCCTTTGAACGCATGATGTAGGTTCACATCAATAGATTCCAAATGCAAATACCACACTTAGAATCAACTCCAGATCTTTTATCTGCTTAACTAATGAAGAAATAACAAAGGAGTAGCCCACACCTGGCCATGAAACAGCTTTTGATTAAATTGTCCAATTACTTTTGGTCCCTTGAAAAAGGGGGGCTGGCTAATTCCTAAACCCTTCCTCCAAATTGGGTCTACATACCCTCAAATTAAACCTGAGTGTGCACTTTCAGCCCATATCCATTACATAACTATAGCTTGAATATGTTTTGGTGAATACCTGAAAAAACTAACATTGTGCCTGTGTCCAAATATATATAGACCTAACTGTGTGTGTGTGTGTGTGTGCATGTGTATATATATATATATATATATATATATATATATATATATATATATATATATATATATATATATATATATACACATACACACACACACACATACATACACATGTACATACATATATATACACACATATATATATATACACACACATATATATATATACATACACACATACAGGTGAAACTAAAAAAATTAGAATATTGTGCAAATGTTCATTTGTTTCAGTAATGCAACTTAAAAGGTGAAACTAATATATGAGATAGACTCATTACATACAAAGCAAGATAGTTCAAGATAGTCATAATTGTGATGATTATGGCTTACAGCTCATGAAAACCCCAAATCCACAATCTTAGAGAAAATGAGAATATTGTGAAAAGGTGCAATATTCTAGGCTCAAAGTGTCCCACTCTAATCAGCTAATTAAGTCCATAACACCTGCAAAGAGTTCCTGAGCCTTTAAATGGTCTCTCTGTCTGGTCCAGTAGGAATCACAATCATGGGAAAGACTGCTGACCTGACAGTTGTGCAGAAAACCATCATTGACACCCTCCGTAAGGAGGGAAAGCCTCAAAAGGTAATTGCAAAAGAAGTTGGATGTTCCCAAAGTGCTGTATCAAAGCACATTAATAAAAAGTTATGTGGAAGGGAAAAGCGTGGAAGAAAAAGTGCACAAGTAGCAGGGATAACCGCAGCCTGGAGAGGATTGTCAAGAAAAGGCCATTCAAAAGTGTTGGTGACTTTCACAAGGAGTGGACTGAGACTGGAGTCAGTGCATCAAGAGCCACCACACACAGACGGATCCTGGACATGGGCTTCAAATGTCATATTCCTCTCGTCAAGTCACTCCTGAACAACAAACAACGTCAGAAGTGTCTTACCAGGGCTAAAGAAAAACATACTTGGTCTGTTGCTCTGGTCCAAAGTCCTCTTTTCTGATGAGAGCAACTTTTGCATCTCATTTGGAAACGAAGGACCCAGAGTATGGAGGAAGAATGGAGAGGCACACACTGCAAGATGCTTGAAGTCCAGTGTGAAGTTTCCACAGTCTGTGCTGATTTGGGGAACCATGTCATCTGCTGGTGTTGGTCCACTGTGCTTCATTAAGTCCAGGGTCAACGCAGCCATCTACCAGGAGATTTTGGAGCACTTCATGCTTCCTTCCGCAGACGAGCATTATGGGGATGCTGACTTTATTTTCCAGCAGGACTTGACACCTGCCCACACTGCCAAAAGCACCAAAACCTGGTTCAATGACCGTGGGATTACTGTGCTTGATTGGCCAGCAAACTCGTCTGACCTGAACCCCATAGAGAATCTATGGGGCATTGCCAAGAGAAAGATGAGAGACATGAGACCGTACAATGCAGAAGAGCTGAAGGCCGCTATTGAAGCATCCTGGTCTTCCATAACACCTCAGCAGTGCCACAGGCTGATAGCTTCCATGCCACGCCACATTGAGGCAGTAATTGCTGCAAAAGGGGCCCAAACCAAGTACTGAGTACATATGCATGCTTATACTTTTTAGAGGTCCGATATTGTTCTATGTACAATCCTTGTTTTATTGATTGCATGTAATATTCTAATTTTCTGAGATTGTGGATTTGGGGTTTTTCATGAGCTGTAAGCCATAATCATCACAATTATGACAAATCACGGCTTGAACTATCTTGTTTTGCATGTAATGAGTCTATCTCATATATTAGTTTCACCTTTTAAGTTGCATTTACTGAAATAAATTAACTTTTGCACGATATTCTAATTTTTCGAGTTTCACCTTTATATATACATACATACACACACACACACACCACACACGTCAAGGTGTTGTCAGGCATATTGTAACCAGGCTTTTTTTGTATCATTGTCACAGCAAATGCTTCTTTCTGGCAACTCAACCATGCAGCACATTTTTGTTCAAGTATAGTCG